CTCCCGGGTGTGGAGGAGAGGCAGGGCAGGCCTGCCCTGATCTGTGGACAGCTGTAGCATATGTGAGCAGACACACAATGGGGGGCACTGTGAAGAACACAGAATAGTTTTAGAATTTAATAGAGGCATCGCTTTTGCTTCCAGGCATTGTCTAGCTTTTCATGGCCAGAGATTTCAATACAGAGGGAGGGATGTGGCTAAAGGGAGGCTCTCTTCCCAAGGGGAGGGCAATGGGAAGAAAGTACTGTGTGTTTTTGAAAGAATGATTGCTTTAGACACTGATACACCATCATTGCAGACTAATCATAAAATAACACGGAGGAAATTTAGATGGAGCCTATGTACCAAAGTGAACTGACTCTGGGTCTATTAATTAACTGTCTTTAGTTTGAGGTGCTGTGTGTGGAATACACATGCCTGTCTCATTCCTGTGTTTCTGTTTTCTGCCCCATCTGTGTCCCACCTTAACTGGTATGTCTCAGCAGTCTTAGATTCCAAGCAATAATGAAGCTATTAGCATTCTCCTGGCCAGACTCCTTGCCCTCTGTCCTTTAGCAGCAGTGTCCCTGGAGAACCTGTTTTGGCTATCTTTGGATCTCTAGGCCCCCTGGTTTGTCCTTGGGGCTCTCTCTGTGACTCTCAAGGGCGTCTTGATGAGAAGATATATGGGAATGGCATCTGGTCCCACTTAATCCAGACTTGCCCTGTGTGTGAACGGGTTCTCCTTGTACAACCTCAGGGGGTCAGCGGAACATTTCAGAACTTAAAAAAAATTAATAGTTAAATTGTTTGGGAAGCTTGGTGATTATTTTGTGGGTTGGGGAAAGGGCTTTTGAATAGAGGCATTTCATGTGGCCGTGGCACAATCCTGTAGGAACCTAGGTTTTTACCTAAAGAAAATTGGATGAAAATGTTTTTGTTACTATATCTGTGGTTGTAAGATACAGGAATAGTAAAAAAAAAAAAAAGTACTGACAAAAAGTTACAGAGAATTGTAAGTTTTAGTCTGAGGCTGGGGTGGGAAATAGCTGTGCAGGAGATGCTTTGAAAGCTACTTTGCTGAGTACTGCCCTTCTGGACTAAGGATGTATTTTATTCCTCACACAGTCTCATGGGAAAATGATCCCAGATGGTGGGATTAGGGAGATGGCTCAGTGGTAAAGTACTTGCTGTTCAAGCAGAAGGGCCTGGGTTTAGATTCTCAGTATCCAAGTTAAAGGCGGAGGTGGGAGCACATGTTTTGGGGGTGGAGACCAGTGGATCTCAGTTCCCTGACCAGCTAGCCTAGTCAAAACAAGAAGCTCCCTATTCAGAGAGACCCTGGCTCAAGCGATTCAGGAAGACACCCCAACATCAGACTTTTGCCTTCATGGGGTGAGATGACACACACACACTCACATGAGCAAGAGCACACACATACACACATGCAGATACAGACAGATGAGAGATAGACAGACAGATACTGTGAAAATATGGTCCATTCTTACTAAAAGAAGTCAGAATTGCAGACAAACTTAGCCTGATCATACTAACATGATCTTGTTTCTCCAGAATTTCAATATTGACTTTGGAAATGATCACGGGTATGCCAGGGATCAATATCCTGAAGGATTTCCTTCCACAGTGAGAAGTTATGTTTTTCAAAGTGCCTGAGGTGAAAGATGATGCAGGTTGAAATGCAGTTTCCCGGGTTCTGCTGCAAAACCCAGAGTGAAAATCTCTGGCTTCCACATTTTAGATAAGAGTGCCAATTGTTCTGGATGTTCAAGAAACTGGAGGAACCTCGCTTAATGTACAATGAAGCAATAATCAGCTTTGAGGACTCCCATCTTATCTGTTCCACTTCTTAACAATAGACAAATGCAATTTCTCTCAAAACCCTAGTTTTGACAACCCATCTGTAAATACATAGTCCAAGTCTCCAGCTGATGGCAAAGAATTATTTGATGTAGCAGTCTGTTGCTTGCTGAAGGAAACACAGGGCAGCCCCAGCAGCCAGCTTGTTCAGCTGTCTTAGGTCTGTGATTTATGTACCATGGCCCCAGGGCAGATGGTTGCTTGGCCCAAAGAACTAAGTTCAGGAGGGTGTGTCATCTCTGACCCAGAGAAGCCAAACCTCTTTACTTCTTCACACACCATTAGCAGCAATTGCATCTGATTTATTTTGGACAGGTCCAGATGAATTGGACTGAAGACAAGTTCTTCCACACACTGTCCAGGAGGCATCTATGCTAAAATCCAACACTCACAAGACTGCTCTAGGGGTTAGATATGGCTGAGTTTGTGCTATGGGAGGCCCTGACTGTCTCCTTTACATGCCACTGCCTTGTGTTTGTAAACCTAGTCATCTCCCTGAACTTTAGCAGAGTGGACAGTTGCATTCATTGACATCCCCTACTCACATACGTCTCTTAAAAAAAATGTAATTTTCAAAAACCCTGAGGAAATACCCGTGGTGGTTTGAAAGAAAATGGCTCCCCAAAGGGAGGGGCACTATTAGGAAGTGTGGCTTTGTTGAAGTAGGTGTGGCCTTGTTGGAGGAAGTGTGTCACTGTGGGGGGTAGGCTTTGAGGTCTCCTATGCTTAAACTATACTCAGTGTGGCACACAGTTGCTTCCTGTTGCCTATGGAACAGGGTGTAGAACTCTCAGATCCTTCTCCAGCACCATGCCGGCCTGTGTGCCACCCACCATGAAGATAGTGGACTAAACCTCTGGACTGTAAGCCACCCTGATTCCATGTTTCCTTTTATAAGAGTTGCTGTGGTCATGGTGTCTCTTTACAGCAACAGAAACTGTAACCAAGACAATACCCTAAAAAGGCAGAATGATGGAGTGTTCAGGAGCAATGTGTGTTGGTCCCTTGCAGGGCAAAGCTCACCAGAAAACATGTTTGGAAAGTCTGAGTTGAAACTAAAAAGAATCTTCTCAGTTTGACATGACTAATCCTTTCTTACAGGTCAAGGTGGAGAATAAGCACAGAGTTCATGTATGTCCTAAAGTCTACTGCCTATGACTTCAAATGATGGACATAACACACTGAGCCCTTCTGCTCTTGAGGTGGGTCTTGATCCTTCCAGAGATGCCTGCTTAAGTCCTAAGAGCTCGGAGAACATACTTTAGAACATATGCTACTTAGTTTCCAGGACAAACCTTGTGATAATTTTCAACCCCAAACAACCCACAAGAAAGTAAAGCAGGTCATATAGTCCTGCTGCAGAGATAAGAAAAGGGAAACCCAGAGAGGGTGATTTCTCTAAGATCAATGCTGCTGGTAAGAAGGTGTGATAGGCACAGTTTTCTAGACACTTAGAACCAATATATACACATGCATCATACATGTCATTCATGTACATTAGATTAATTATGAAGTGTTGGCTCATATCTGCCACAATATGCCATTTATAAAGCTGATAGTATCATTCTGGACCAAGCCTAAAGACATGATAACCAAAGGGCCATTGGTTCAACTCCCTCTTTGAGTTGAGGTGTCCAAGAGCACCAGTGTTCAAGGGCACAGGAAGATGAATGACTTTACTTAAGCAGGGAGAACAAATTACTGTCTTATACCATGTTCCACTTAAGTGTTGGAGGGACTGGTTGATACACACTCTCTTTGATTAGAGTGGTCTTCTTTTTTTAATTCTATCAATACAAATGCTCCATCTGGACAGACTACATACAGATTATGGCTTGAATCGGAAATATCTCACAAGTTTTGATTGTTTGTTCTCTAGCTGGCTCGGGAAGTGAAGTCCAGTTGGAAGAAATATGACATCAGAGGGAGGCCTTGGAGGGGGATAGCCCGGTCACTTGCTCCTGTTTCATTCTCTGCATCCAAGTCCATCGTGATGTTGACAGCCTCTGCCACGTGCTCCACCACCATGGTCTTAACTATTCCACCATCCTTCCTTGACATTATGACCTGAAACCTTCTGAAACTTTGAGCCCAAACAAATCTTTTATCCTCTAAAGTGGTATTTGGCAGGTATTGTGACAATGAAACAAAGTAACCAATACACAGAAACACCCAGAAATAATGTACCACTGAGAACTGGGCCTCCCTTAGCCAGTTCAGTTGACACATAGAATTAACTGTCACATGAGACTAGCATTAGGAGCCAGGTCTCCCAATTCTTGTTTCCCTTATTTGTAATGATCTACTTGGTTCTGCTTGCCAAGCTAAGGAGTTTGGTTACCTCTGGTCAGTTAAACAAGGGAAGAATGTTCATGGGCTTTCTTGGTGGAGACTCAGATGGCTCTGAGGATTTACTGGGGATAGAGAAGGGAGTGTAGTAGGTGCAGAAGTGTTTCTCTGTTGTAATCTGACCCACCAAGAACTGTGGCTTGGCTGACATATCCATTCAGGCCAAGACTACAGCCCCAAGTGACGTGGGGACATCCTGGGGACATTTTTTATGAGGTGGAATCTACAGGACAGTTATGTCTAACAGGAGAAAAGAGCGACTTAACATAATTTCCATGTTGGGTAGTCAGGATAGAAATGGGAGTAGAACTATAGGAGGATAGTCCAGTTTTATTAGACATATCAAAGTTAGTAGAGACATGCCAAGGTTGTGACATGCAGTTGTCTAATGCAGAATTATTTACCCACAATGGACCTCAGGGAGCATCTGGGTCAGGTGTGGTCATGGAAGACATGCTGGGTGAGAGAACACTGGGAGGGGAAGAGTTCTGGGGGCACTGGGGAGGGGAGTCAGGAACCATGAGGTCATCAAGAAGGAACTGGCAAGAGGGTTACAGAATAGATACAGAGCACTTAGATCCAGACGACTTAAGACCATTGTTCTGAGTAGCCAGTGAGCAAGCAGGGGTCTGGGTAACCAAAGTAACTTGAAGAAAGGAAAACTTATCCACACAGAGACACAAACTTGCTTATTAGCCACTTTGTCCTTGAGAGAAATTCCACATTGACAAGCCTTACAATGGTGTTGAGAAGTTTGGTGGCAAGACTGAGTTAAGATGGTAAAAGCAACTTACCACAATGAGTGCGACCACAGACAGCGTGTAGTAGATGGAATCCCTTAGCAGGCACCAGGAGGAGAGAGCCACGACCTAAAGGAAGAGGGAGACAAACAGGAAACAGGCTGTCAGGCTATCCAAACAAGACAGGGTGACTCTTGCCAGCACTTGTCCTCCAGGAGAACCCAGATAGAAGAGAAAAAGAAAAGTGTGTTTTCCGTTTCTGCTTCAGTAGAGTCATCTGTTTTCTTGGCCAGTGGCAAATCAGGGACATAGACTCAAATATGTTTGCCACCTGGCCCTGATCAATCTGCCCCTCAATGGGGACTTATGGAAAGGCTTTAGGGCTATTAGTCTGGATCTTCTCCTAAGAAGATGCAACAGGTGGGCTGACAGGAGTGACCAGTGACAAAAACTGGGAGGGGTCAAGGGACTTGTTCCACTGTGACTGTGGTCTAACCTCTGAGAAGGAGAGAAGGAAGGCTGCTGTGTCCAGCTGCTGAGTAGTTCCAGAACTGTGTAGCTAAGGTCGAGGTTGGGCTTTGGGGCAAAAGTGCTCACTAAGGGAGTCTTACACCTACAGGCACAAGTTGTTTAGTATCTTTCATGTGAACGGAGGGACAGGTGTGAACTCATGCCCTCATCAACACGGAATAAGCACCTGGATAGGGCAGCTGCAGCCCTTCAGAAGGCAGACAGGCCCCTGTAGACCCTCCAGGTTTTCTTGCCTCATTTCTATCATATGCCCATATCTGTTAGTGACTGAATTAAAAACTAAATAGATTTACCAAGCAGGTTGGAAAGAAAGTTACTTTAGAAGTTGGTCTATGCCACTTTAAAGAGATGTTGGCTTTACTGAGCCATGGCTGCAGAAGGAGGAGGAGTCTTGTTGGATAATGACAGTAGAGGACCAGGACTGGGCATCATGGGGAGGGGTGGGCAAGCCATCCCTCTCCCCCCCTCCCCCCGCCCCGTAAATCCTTCAAAGTCTCTTTTTAGGGGCTCTGTAGGTCTATGTTGGCAGACTTGAATAGAGCAATCTGGAAAAGCCCACAGAACCATGTCAGCAGGCTGTTGGATTATTCCCTTCCCTTAACTCATGGGCATGGAACAGTTGTTTGGCTGCTTTTACCCTTGGACTAGTAGGTAGAAAAGGATACCACAAATTCCAACATTCCCAGGTAGGCCAGTGACAGGCACATATTACACCAAGCACACCTGGAAAAGGGATCCCATAGATAAAGTGGTTTCCCATACCTCTACTGACCCTGACTTCTGGGTCAGCTACAAAGACCAGGCACAGGAAAAGGTGAGAAGGCTTTTTAGTATTTGGCTAACATGAAAGGCAGGCCAGCCTCTTTCCATTAGTACCTTCTTCTACAGCATACTGACATGTAGATTTTTTCATGGCTAATTTTACCTCATTAGGTCTTTGCGTTGGCTGATTTAAGTTAACAAGGACAGGGCTGTCCAGATGAGACCCACTCCATGGCAATTGCTGCACAATGACTACAAAGCTTTCTTTACTGACTTATCATTCTCTCTTGGATTGTGGACTCTGAGAAGCTGTGGTCATCACTCACCATGGTTGGAATAGAATAAATTGAACTAAATCGCTTATTTGTCAGCAGGTTGCAAAAGGTCTTGGATATTTATTCAATTTATTATAATCAGGTGAACAAATTTACAACATGAGATAAATATCAGTTCTGAACCTCTTTTAGCAAACCACTTGGGCTTTTAGATAGCAGACTGACCTCACACTACTGCTGTTCCTCTTTCTTGTTATGCTATGACCATATGACAAAACAAATATTCTTAAAACAAGTCAAAAACCCACAAGCAAAAAAAAAAAAAAAAGATAAAACAGATGATCCAAGCAGTACAATTTTGGAATCTGGAAAGCAGGGGAATAACTCACCACTCATCTGGTTTTGTAAAAAATTCAGAAGCCAGGCAGCAGATGGGCCTTGAAATGTGACTATTTAAGAATATGACTGTTTAAGAATTTCATCCCCAGACTTATCTCATTTTAACATCCTGGCCACTGTCTATCTGTCACCTTAACAGAAAGTAAGAGCAATGGTGCTTGAGCAACAGCAGTTCTGAAAACAGATTGCAGAGGGATGATAACCAAATGCATAATCTAAAAACGACCTCCAGAAGTTAGGGACCTACACATTTTCAGAGTCAAAAGGCCCTCAAGTGTGTGGCACAACAAACAAGGACAAAACCTCAAAATACAAATTATTCATTTAGGTTAACTGTACAAAACACATAGCCACAAAATTTCACAATGGTCGGCCAGGAACAGACCTTAAAATTGAAACAGAGACAGATTAAGGAGGGAGGGGAGGGAAAGGGAAGGGGAGAGGGAGGGAAGAAGAGAGAGACAAAGAGTATGTACATGATCAAAACAGATTACAACTGATTTCTCAACAAAGATACTGAAAACCAGAAGGAAATGGGTAATATCTTCAAAATTAGAGAGGAGAAATTATTTTAACTGAAAGTTTGTAACTGACTTATCAGTTAAAAGTGAGGAAAAAGAAAGTAACAAAGTTTGGCTCCATTCAAAATTTCTCTCTTATGCTTCATTCCTTAATAGACATTGGGGGGGGGTGCACTCCTTCAAAATAGAATTACACACAAAACATGTTACACAACACCATGAACTGAACAACAATTGCAATAACAACTGAAGGACATTTCTAAAATGGTGGCAAAAAGGAAATTATAGGAGGAAGCCATACAATATTATAAAATAAATTATTCTCAGCAGGCTTAGAGGGTGCCTACTCAATCCTAGCACTTGGGAGGCTAAGGTTAGAGGACTGTGAGTTTGAGGCTAGTCTGAGCTACATAGCAAGACACTATCTCTAAAATATGCATTCCTGAGCCAACCTGAAACAAGTAAAAAGGCAGTTGTTCCAGAAAAGATTATGAATCATTACATATTAATGACCCAGTTAGAAAGAGTGGTTGCATAGTCATAATAAATTAAGCAGGCTGTTGTATAAACAAACTTATGATACAAGTCTTTGAGGCTAATTTGGGGAGAGCTGGGGCTAACAGCTCCTCTTCCATGCTGTGAAGTCAATACAGAATGCTTGCAACTGAAAATCCAATAGCTGCCACCTCAGCATGTTATTTAAGGATTTCATAGCTGATACCAAGAGCAGACACATTAGTGGGAAGTAGTGGGAAATTGGTACTGATGGGGCTGCAAGATGGCTGTTTTCCGTAAGAAGTCATTAATAACTGGTTCCCCGCTTAAGCTCTGTGCATATATAACCTTAATAAAACAGGAGCGTGTAATACAAATTATCCACTGAGATTTACTAATGCAGGAAATGAACCTCACACCAAGTCCAGATGTCAAAATTGAGCAGACTGTAATACATTTTCTCTCATTATGAACTGTCTTTAGCATCTGGACTGTGGACAAACTTCAGTTCCAGATTAAGATGCAACATGCTACAAAACTGATTTCCTGGCTACAGATGGGGTGAACTTGGAATACAGTAAAAAGGTATCAAACCAGAGGATAATCTCTTTCTCCTCAAGAGGGAACTGGGGGAAGACACACCCCCAAACCTTCCACAGCTCTGCCAGAGATTCGGTGAAGGCTCCGTCAGGGACTGTTGTCCTTTCTGCCTAACTTTCTGAACCCATCATTCACTGACAATGACCACATTTATTTGACTCTGCACCCAAAGGGTGCAAAGGGTTATTTCATGTAATCTGCACAACATCCTAGTACGTTATGCCTTGCCTTCTTTTACTAGTTATCAGAGCAAAATTGAAAGACTTGACCAAGGTTGTGCCAGTAGAATTGGGAGGAGGGATTAGGATCTAAACCCAGGAAGCTTGGCTTGTAGGTCCCTGTCCCTGCATACTATACTATACATCATGTCACAAGAGGCAAGGCTGAAAAAAAAAATCAGATTCCCCCGTGCCATTGTATCGCCTCTTTTTGGGAGGGAGTTTCCTTTAAGCTGATTTTTGGGAGTGTCCTTACTTTAAGCTGTTAGGACAAGAGTATTAGAAACGTAGCAAAAGGGAAAGTAAAAGCATTGGCCACAGTTAATGGTAACAGTTAAATTTAGAAATGAAGTGTTTAAAGGAGATGCAGGACAAGCAGTCAAAGCATGCAGACTGCAGGTACGGAGGTGGATGTCCTAGGAGGGAAATAGCTGGTTAAATGCAGGCGGAAACTACTGGTCCCTTTGTCCACTTCTCAAAAAGAAAATTCTTGCCATTGCTTAGTAATTATTCATTTTCCATAAACATGGATGCATGAACCCTGTAGAGTCCACACAGTTCCTTTGCTTCTTAGTGGAAGATGGAGACAGGATCCACCTGACTCATACCCTGAACATATTAGTGGAGATGAACATGTCAGTATCCCTGAGACAAAAGGGTGTATCTGCCTGCAGGTGTTCCTCAACCCAGAGCAGGCTGACGAGCAGACAGCTCGACTTCTGTCACACAACAACTGGCAGGAACCAAGACAAGTCATCCTGGTGAAGTGACCAGAACAAGGGTCCTGGGAGGAAACCAACAGTGAGTAATTTTGCCCTTGACCTCATTAATCAGTGGCACAGATGGTGGGGATTGCAAAAAGGCCATTCAATGGCAAGCTCCTCTGCAATCCAGAGCTCTGCCCCCCCCCCCCCACAGCTCTAGGAAACCCTCCTGGCTGGAATTTCATCTTGACATTTCCTTGCTATTTCTGGAGTGCATTTCACACATTCTCAACTGAATATGCAGCTTCGATTTCCTTCCTATAATTCCATTTCATTTCAGAGTGGTATAAATGAGAGAAAAAGAAAATCACACTTCCCAAACAGAGGAAAACACATTCTTCTCTCCTTTGGGATTCTGGATTCTTCAAGGAGGTTAACAGTAATTGTTTACAACAAAATTATGCCTTCTGTATATGGATACATTTTAACTCTCCCCATAGTTATTCATATTCAGGATATAAACAGAGTATCTTTGGAAATATAAAGAATATGTGCATATTATTCAATATAGTATGTTTTTCTGGATGACAAATATGGCATGTCAGACCCATTTTAGAAAGTCAA